AATAATTCGGTTTTTTTGCTGCAGTCGAATAATTCGGTTTATTGTGAAAATGCATTTTTTAATATGCATAAATATTTATAAATTTTATAGACGGCCACCGATTTTCTGAAGGTAGTCTATTGGAATTTAGGTTTATATTGATCCTCATAACATTTAGTTTACGACTTAAATTCATTTATTGCTTATTTATGACTATTAAGTGAGATTCTAATATTTATAAGACTAATATAAACATTAAAACAATTTTCTGAAATGGGCCTTATATGGGCATTGGGCCAAATGTGGTCCGATTTAAAAAAAAAAACTTTACAGAATTATTTGTAGATCCATAAAACATACTTCTGACTAATTTTATAACGATTGCTGCATAATCGGGGCGCTTACGAGTATTTAAACGGGGCTATATGGCTAAAAGCAACTAATCATCATCTTTCTTGGACCATAATAGTGCTATATACCAAATTTTTCCCAGATATCTTTAAGCTTTTGATCTGTAATTTAACATTAATCAACTCTGGAAGTGGTTTTGAGCCTATTGGAGTCCTTTAAGCTTAGTTAAGTACTATTCTTATTTGGTGAGTCAGGTTTTTACTAACATTACCTGACTCACATAATATAAATTTTAATGGTTTAGGGTATACAATTCAATATAATTCCTGATTTTTCCAGTTGACGATAAACAGTAATCTTTCTATATTCGTGTAAAAGTGAAAAAATGTACATTTACATGTATTTATTTGATAGATTTACTGCATTTTATCTGCATTTAAACCGACAAAACTATTTTTTCAAAAAGTAAAAAAAATCGAATATCCCGAAACCCGATTTTTGAAAATAGTTAAAGAATCGAATTTTCTAGGATTGTTTCTATTAATTATTATAATTTTTTAATGAAAATTGCCTTTCATTGGTATTTAATTTCATCCTGGATATAACTTTTTAACCGTCTTGTCTATACCCGAGCAAAATTACGTGCATCAATACCCAACATACCCGGGTATGTCATACAATTTATATGGCTATTTCATCTTTTTATATATTTCTAGTGGATAATTCAGATAATTATTAAAACTAATTTAATAAAACTTCTGTATATATAAATTAAATAGTTTGTGATCATAAACCATTCAATTTTAGCAATTTTTTTAAAGTTTTCTTATTGCTTTCCTGTTCACAAAAATGTAAAATACAACAAGTAAGAGTGTTATATTCGGCTGTGCCGAATCTCATAAACCATATGCCGTAAAAGGGTGATATTTGGAATATGGCTTAAGTCAATTATGGACCGAGCTCTTTTGAAATAACAAAATATTAATTTTTAAAAAACAAATATTTTATTTCAATTCTTAAACCGTGAGCGTCAATTATGAATCGATACTCATAAAATTTTGTACATACATAGATTATATATATTTTAAATAAAGAACACTCGTATTTTATTAACCAAAACTCTTTCCTGAAGGGAACCTTTTGTGAATTACCGACACATTCCGCATAAAATTCGGAGCGAATTTCATAACCGTATTTCATAACTCATATTTTTATGCCAGTAATGATCGTTTAAGTAATTTTCTGAAGGGGACCTTATATGGGCGGAAGGGTAAATTATGGACAGATCCTCCCTAAATTTGGTGGAGAGATTTTGGCACGCATTAAACTTATGTGCGTCAATTTTCGTCACATTCATATTTTTAAGCCAGTAATGAGCATTGTAGTTATTTTCAGAGCCGATCCAAAAAAATTGGTACGGAGGTTTTGGATCGTAAGAAACTTACGTATGTAGCATTTCATCGCTTTACTCGTATTTTTAAGACAGTAATGAGCGTTTAAGCTATTTCCTGAAGTGGACCTAATAGGGGGAGTAGGGCCTATTATGGACCTAACCACATAAAAGTTATTAAAAAGATTTTGGCTCGCGAGGATCTTAATTGAGTAAAATTTTATTGCTATATTTGTATTTTTTAGCCAGTAATGAGCGTTAAAGTAATTTTCTAAAGGGGACCTATATGGGGGTAGGGTCAATTATGGACCGATCCTCAAAAAATTTGGTAGAAAGATTTTTGCTCACATGAAGCTTATTTATGTCGAATTTCATCGCTATACTTGCATTTTGGGGCCAGTAATGAGTTTTAAAGTCATTTTCAGAAGGGGACCTTATATTGGGGGTAGGGTCATTTATGGGCCGATCCTAAAAAAATTGGTTAAAAGGTTTTGGTTCGTAAGAAACTTACTTATACTGAATTTCATCGCTATACTCGAATTTTTAGGGGACATTATATGGGGGGTACGGTCATTTATAAGCCGATCCTCAAAAAATTTGATAGAAAAATTTCGGCTCATATGAAACTTACTTATGTCGAATTTCATCGCTATGCTTGTACTTCTAAAGCAGTTATGCCCGTTAAAGCTGTTTTTAGGAGGTACACTTGTATGGGGGCTATCCGAAAAAGTGGACCGATATTGCCCATTTTCAATACCAAACAAACCTTAACAATAGAGAATATTTATGCAAAATTTCAACTGTCTAGCTCCTCTCGTGTGGTCCCTATCGTGATTTCAACAGACAGACGGACGGACATGGCTAGATCGTCTTAGAATTTAATAAGGACCCGGAATATATATACTTTTATGGGTCTATGACTAATATTTCGATGTGTTACAAACGGAATGACAAAATCAATATACCCCCCATCTTTTTTGATGGTGGGTATAAAAAACTTAAAGAAAAACGCCTTCATAACATTATGCAGAATTTGACTTTGTAAAATTTTGACTTCAAGAAGCTATTACTCTGTGACCGGGAAAGATAATTGAACAAATCTTTTTATATTTTATTTATTAAGGTTTATTTATTAAGGATTAGCATTAAAGAAATTGTTTTTGCTTTCGTAATTAGGGAACTTTTTTGCAAAAAAAGATAGCTAAGTCATGGTCAAAAATTAAAATTATTAAATTTAAACTTAAATATTTTTGTTTATATGAGAATAAAATTATTATGATCAGCATAATTTTACTTTACTAAGTCATATACAACAAAAAAATTTTTTTCATGAAAATCGGCCCATATTTGTTAATGTTACAGGGTCCACAAATAATAAAACATAAAATTTGTAATGGAACTTAGTTTTTGTCCGACAACTGACATATAATTTGTATACATACCGGGGTATGTTGGGTATTGATACACGAGGTAAAAATAGAAAATCGGTCATAAATCGGTTTAATATATATACATATATATATATCTAACTAATTTTTGGAAAATGTATAGAAAACATTACTCTGAAAGCATAGTCCAAATTTCAAGCCGATACGATATATAGATCTCGAGATATATCACTTCAAAAATGAAAAACATACCCGGGTATGTGGGTATTGACATAACGGTTAAAATTAGTCTATTATTATGCACAATTCAAATTACATATTTTTCTAAAATGATAAAGAATACCAATAAAACAGGGAAATACAAATTTTTATAATAACCACTATTTTTAGTACTGCCAATACCAAAAACGATGGTACCAAAATATTTTTAAATTATAATTTTTACGAGAGATATATCAAAACAAATATATATCCTTTTTAACAGCCTATTATTTTGCACAGCACTGTATATAAAAAACTTATAACATTTAGCATTCTTTATACTTAAAATGAATTCGCGCCTGTTCTTGTGCTAGGTTTTGTGTTCGCTGGGTACATGAAGGATACATCATATATAAACATTTGCATGTGTCCCTATGAATGTTTGTACTTGTTTATCCATACGTACATACATACATCATAAGCCAAAACGTTGTTATCAACTTAGTGTGTGATCACTAAAACTGAATTAAAACAATTCAATACCACTACATGATCGCAGAATAACAAACCAATACACTACAGAACAATACAGACACCAACGCCACCACCACAAATAATCTGTTGCAATTATACCTTTGGTATTATTTTCTTTTTTTCGTTGTAGCATATTAAATATTTGTAGTAATTTAGCTTGCAGCTATAAATGCAAGCAAGCATTTTTGAATACTTGCAATGTACTGACTGGCTGTATCATGAAGACAAAGCAATCTTCTTTAATCACTAATACATAACATTTTGCAAAATATGCAATCATAATTGAGAAAATATTTCGGATCGTACTGGCAAAAATCTTTAAAAACATATCACTACAATAATCCAATAGAGGAAAATATTGAACAGAAACAAAGTTAAATATTAATTGCCCATACAAATTAAAACGTTGTTGAATACACTTGAAAACCTATAGTTGTTTATAGTAACATTTTAACGATTAGCCACAGGGTTTTTGTATGGCATGAAGTTTTACACATAACTACCTATACCTACTCTTCTTTCAGTTAAGTATTTTATTTACACATTCCAATAGGTTTTCTCAAAAATTTGTATAAGATTTAATTAAATAATAAACTATAAATACAACACCTCTTAATTTCCGCTTTTTTAGACTTTAGAATCAGGCTTCATTATATTCGGGAAAAAAGTTTTATAAAACAATTTCCCAAAAATTTGTTTTGTTTATATGGATGTTTTAAATCCGGTTTTTGAAAAAATCGAAAAATTCTCTGAAAAACCGGTTTCGAACACGTATTGAATAGACCTTATAAGAATATTTATAAAAATTTATAGAATATTCCGTTCATTAAAAACCGGCACGTCGAATAGTTTAAAAATATGAATTTTTCGAAACCAATCAATTTCCAAAGAAGAAAAAAGTATGTTTCCGGTTTTTAAATACTCTACACTGCAACAAGCACTGCAAATAAAACCTTTTCTTAAATGGATTTGCTCATATACATTTTCTATAAATATAGTTGAAAAACTTCGTTTATGAAATAAAGTTTCTTCACATACTTAATATTGTTCACTACGTCGCAACTAACTAATATAATCATTAAGTAATTTTTAATAATTTATTGACTACTAAGTATTATTTTCGCTCATTGGAATAATTAAAAAATATTTCTTTTTAGACTTTCAAAATAAAATGTTCTTCGATCAGAATGATGAAATTGAAAATAATACAAATTTAGATACCATGGAAAACTCAACGACAGCGATTCCTTTAGCTCATTCGCAACAAAATAGTGCCAAGATATCATCAACCATTACGGAAGAAGCAGCCAATGTCGAACCTAGTAATATACCAGCCATGATTTACAAATGTAATAATTGTGATTTCTTTGGACAATTAAAACATGAAGTTGAAGCACACATCGAGGCAACCCATCCTAATGGAGATAGCAGTGAAGTTATAAGTATACCAACCAATCCAGTAGCAATTCAGGCTTTTCAAGCTGCTATGGCTGCGGCTACATTGGCGGCCGTGAGTCGTGCTTCAAAAACATCCAACAGTCCCTCGCCGACACCGAATTTAGCACAGACAAAAATCGTAAATGCGGTTGCACAAGACAGTGAAGATGACTTAGGTCCTGTGGCTATTAAACGGGAACGTCTTGATATATCTGATCAAGAAATTTTACCAGAGGGGTCAGCTTCAGTATTGAATGAACTAAGTACCTCTATGGAAGTCGATGAGCAACATGAGACTCCTGCTCAAGTTAAACCGAATAAAAGTGTACAGTGTCCTTTGTGTCAAGATTACTTCACAGAAAAACATGCTTTGGAAATACACTTGATGACTGTACATAGCGTTAACAGAGACGGCTTATCTCGTCTTTTGCTACTGGTGGATACAAGTTTGTGGCAAACTGAAGAAACTTCCCTCCAAAATTGTCCACAGCCAGTTGCGCTCGAAACTGCTTCATCGACATCTTCCTCTACCAAAGCTGTAAGTGACACAACCTTGCCAGGAACTAAGCCGCCACTAACCGGTTATGAATTGTTGTTGTGCCAACAGTGCGGTTCCAGTTTTAAGCACGAGCAACAATTATTACAGCACGCACAAAAAATGCAACATTACACTATGCAAAAGGGTGAATATCTCTGTTTAGCATTCAATTCAGTACGAAATCCTTGTAAAATGCACTATCCAACACTAACTGCAATGTTCAATCACTATAATGACTCCCATATGAGATTGGTAATATCTGAACGTCATGTTTATAAGTATCGCTGTAAGCAGTGTTCCTTAGCGTTTAAAACCCAGGAGAAATTGACCACTCATACTCTTTACCATACAATGCGTGATGCTACAAAATGCGCCATGTGCCAACGCAACTTCCGTAGCACTCAGGCTCTACAAAAACACATGGAGCAGGCTCATAGTCAATCAACAACCGGAAACAATTTAGAATGCGCCAGTCCACGAACAGTTTCGCCCTGTGGAAGTGAAATGGAAAGACCCGGTCCAGAAACTAGTCGCACAACCAGCGCAAGTGATAAGTTTGAGAACGAATCAAATAGATCTATTACACCAGGACCAGAGATATGTCCGCCAACCCAATCTCCCGGTTCCACTCAGAATGAACCACAAAACTCACCGTCACCATCAACACAACAGCAACAAATGTCCACCATAACAGCTTTAATAAACCAACAACAACAGCAAAATGCTTCGCCTTCTGAGCTGTTGCACCATATGCAAATGCAACATCAACAATTTCAAAACCTCCCGGCTTTACATAACCTCCAACAGATGCAACAGCAATTACCCCAATTTGCTGCTGCCGTCGCTGCATCTGGCATGCCAATAAATCCTGTCGAAATGCTGAATCTCATGCAATTTCATCATCTTATCTCATTGAATTTTATGAACTTGGCACCTCCTTTAATATTTGGCGGTAATGCAGCTGCAGCTTCATCCGTCACCGCTTCAAACACTACTATTCCAACAAATATGCCAAACAGCAATGTTTCACAGCCTCCCTCTCATGTTGCCCTAACAACAGACCTTACAACGTCCTCATCAACATCTAACGTAACACCATCATCCGTACCAGCTCTACCAAATGTCGACGTAAGTGCTCAAATTTTGCAGCAGCAACAACAACAGATTTCTCCCAGTTCATCAAATTCACAGGTAGGAAAATTTTATCTACATATATACATGTTTATATGTATATAAGTTTTATTTGGGTACTTAAAAATTCATCAAAAATAAAAAAATCTCACGATTAATAAATTTAAGTAAATAATTTTCTTATCTTATTTTACAGCTGCTTAATAATCAAAAACGTGCACGTACCCGCATTACAGACGATCAGCTAAAAATTCTGCGCGCTCATTTCGATATAAACAATTCCCCCAGTGAAGAGAGTATTTTGGAAATGTCTCAAAAAGCCAATTTGCCCATGAAGGTATTTAATATTTTTTCTTTCATCTTTATATTATGCATTTAATCCACAGTTTAGAAAAATATTCAAAATGTAACACCTGTTTGCACTAAAATTTCGATTACAATGAAGATGCATATTTAGTGTGTAATATTAAGAATTATTTATTATGTTCTGGATAATTAAAGATCTTTGGAAATTATATTCAAAATCCGTTAATGAAGTGCAAAAATTCAAAAAAAATTTCAGTTGGCTATTTTTCGAAACATACATTTACAACATTTACACCACATTTTCTTAAATGTATTTTATAGGTTGTTAAGCATTGGTTTCGTAATACATTATTTAAGGAACGTCAACGCAATAAGGACTCACCTTATAACTTTAACAATCCACCTTCAACTACATTAAATTTGGAAGAATATGAGCGTACTGGTCAAGCAAAAGTAATGCCTCTCACAGACCAAGTCCAGCAACAACAACTACAGATACCATCTCGTCCCTCATCTGCTCATTCCATTAGTAACAATAGTGAATATTCCAATCAACAACAGCAGCAACAGCAGCAGTTGGAACACAAACAAAGAGAAGAGGCGGAGACATTGCGTTCCCAGGCCTCAAGTGTGGCAAGTTCAACATTCCCTTTAGATGTACAAATAAAGACAGAACCATGTGAAGATTTGACTACGCCGACTTCTAACTCCTTAGAAAATCCTGCATCTACGGCTATGACAACATTTCTAAAGCAACAACAACAGCAACAAAAGCTACGTTTTTCTAACCTAGAGCAACAAGAACACGATTTAATGATGATGTCCGAACAGCATTTGTCTTCAGCTGCAGTAGCTGCACAACAGCAACAACACGCTGCGGTCGTAGCTGCCGCCTCATTTTACAATAGCTACGAGACCAAATCTGAGAGTGAGAGTTCTGACATGCATTCGCGCCCACACACACCGAACAGTAATACAACGTCGAATTTATATGCCAGCATGAACGACTTGTTAAGTCAACAATTGGAAAATATGCCACTCAATCAGATGGGTCCGCCAAAAAAGTTTCAACTAAATCCAAACTCTAATCCATGCAGTAACATAAGCAGCACTACAAGCGAACGTTCGACAATTCACAATCAAGCCGGGATTGGTGGCACCAGTAGTGCCAGCGGTGTTATTGGTGGTGCCAGCACAGGTGGCAGCATTACAGTCAGCAGTAAATTATTTGAGAAGCACTCGCCATCAGCTCAATATGATACCAATTCTAACTCCTCAAATTCATCGACAACCTCAAGTGGTAAAAGAGCAAATCGCACTCGTTTCACTGATTATCAAATTAAAGTGTTGCAAGAGTTCTTTGAGAACAATTCCTATCCAAAAGATAGCGACTTGGAATACTTAAGCAAGTTATTATTGCTGTCGCCGCGTGTTATAGTAGTATGGTTTCAAGTAAGTACAATTTAAAGTATTCTTGTTATATACTAGTAATACATTCGGGTATACATATATTTTCAATTATTTACATAGACTACTATTATATAATTTTAAAATTTCCAATATAAAGGTCCTTAAATAACTCGTCGACATATTTAAAGTGCCGTAATTGTGAGTTATTTTTTGTTTCAAAAATAAATAACTCAGACTAAGTAAAAAGCTATAAAAATATTTGTTTTGATGCCATGTTTCAAAGCTTTCGGTGCCACGCTAGGCTAGTTGGTAGTGTGCTTTTTTATCAGTCTGGAGGCTGTGGGTTCGATTCCCATCAGAGACCCTGGTCTGCTTCACTACAACCAATCATCAGTCTTGGATTTAATACCCTTTACCGGATTGTCACTCCGTTTGCTATTCTTTCAATTTGCTTTTCTCTACTATAACTTCTTTCTAGCTTTAGGCAATTCTATCAAACAATAATAATATATGTATATCCACCAAAGGTGTTGCTATAATATCTAAATATTTCCTTACGATTTCAGAATGCCCGACAAAAGCAGCGTAAAATATATGAAAACCAGCCAAACAATTCATTGTATGAATCCGAAGAGAAAAAACAAAACATAAATTATGCTTGCAAAAAATGCAGTTTGGTATTTCAACGATATTATGAGCTGATACGACATCAAAAGAATCATTGCTTCAAGGAGGAGAATAACAAGAAATCAGCCAAAGCTCAAATAGCAGCGGCTCAAATTGCACAAAACCTGAGTTCAGAAGATTCCAACTCATCGATGGATATTAACAGTGCGGCTGCGGCAGCACTTTTGGCTCAACATCATCCAGTTGTTGGAGTGTCTGCAGCTACTGGTATGGGCAAAAATACCCCAACCGCCGGTGAATTCAGTCCAATACCAGGTAATGCCACTACGCCTCCTCGAGATCAAGGCAATAGCAATAACAGCGAGAATCAGAAGTTCGCTTGTGATAAATGCAAACTGACATTTACCCATTTCGATCATTTACGTGAACATCAACTGATGCATTTAGTGAATCCAAATTTACATCTGGCCGCTGAAAGTCATACAACAGCAAGTGCTGCCGCAGCCGTTGCTGCCTATGGTCCCTTTGGTAGCATTCTCCAAAGTCTTCAGCAAGCTGCTCATCTACAACAGGCGGCGGCCAATACATCAACTCCACAGCCAGTAGCTAAAAAGCGTAAATATTCAGAGACTTCCTCGAATGCAGACGATTTGTCTTCCCTAGGGGGTTTTTCTCTGACGGGAGCCGATTATGACAGCCATGCCAAAAAGTATAATTTTTTATATCAATATTTCCTCCAAAATGAAGGCAACTCGGAGTTGCGACAACAATTTCACAACCAAGATAGCGCTGAGTTAAACATGGAATTTCTCGCCAACTACTATCAGCAGACTGAGCTCAAGAAACGCAACAACTATGATTTCTTATTTCAATATTACATCAGGAATGAACAGCAAACAAATGCCAACTTTGAACTTGCCGATAACAACAAGCCCAACATAGAATTTTTATTACAATATTATCAACTTTGTGAATCGAAAAAGTTTTTTCAGTTAGAGGCCTCGCCCCAGCGAATACATGATGGACCGTTAATGCAGGGTGGTATCGATACTGTCCAACACAACACCAACGCCAGCAGCAGCAGCAGCAGCCGTCCTGCTTCGAATGGCAGCGATCGCAGCACCAGCAGCCCTGGCGGCAGTGGTATTAATGAGGAGAGTAATGGGGGTGGGGTGGTAAATAATATTGAAAACAATGAACACTCTCCTCTGCAGGTTACATACAATTCCGAACACAAAGCACGCTCGAATGGACAGCACTACAATAATAATAACAACGATTTGTTGGCAACAAATATCGAGCTAAACAATCACAACAATTTTTGCCAAAATACCAATAGAATTGAAGGTTTAAGTAGCAGAACCGATACATCCAAATTAGAAGAACAAATGGACCAATTAGATGGTTTGCAGGAAGTTAAAAATCAATCTAACTTAAATTCTGCTACTGTCACGAATGTACCAGACTCTCCGGCTCATATGCCATCAGAATCATCCACCTATTACCATAATTTGGAAGATTTTCTTGACGCCACCATGATAGAAAACCATAATCAAACACTTAACTTTACTTCAGATTCAAATAAGATATGCTCGGAAGTCACAAACACATCAACATCACAAAGTTGTGCCGTGACATCAATTCAACCGGAAGATGGGGTGGCTACCGCTTCCAATACGAATGAAAACGCCCAACACAAACAAGCAAATAAACGCTTACGCACTACAATTTTACCAGAACAACTGAATTTTTTGTACGAATGCTATCAAAATGAATCAAATCCAAGTCGCAAAATGTTGGAGGAAATTGCCAAGAAGGTCAATCTTAAAAAACGTGTTGTACAAGTAAGTCAATATTTGATAAACTGTAGGAAACAGTGATTGAATTAAAGTGAAAATTAATAATACAACTTTTTAAATTTGTATTTAATACCTTCACTGCACGCAATTCTAATCATTATTAAGTCTAAATGTATGTTAGAAATTTAATTTTCTCTTTAATTTCCAAACTGAGGTTTTGCTTAATGACTTGTCAGATTTGCAAGTTTTTGTACTCAAAGTGTCAATAATGTTCAAAAATTTTTTTTGCAAAAAAACTGTATATCAGACAAGCCAGTAAATTAAGTTATTTTGGGTTTCCTTTCATTAGTTACACACATATGTTTTTAATTATGTTTTTTTTTTTTTCTTTCTTTTATGTTTTTAGTAATTTGAGGCCGATGTTGAAAATCGTCTATTCTCATCTAAGCTGGATAAATTTCACATTTTTAATAATATTTATTTGTAGTTATAATTTTTATCTAATTTAAATTATTTTGTTTTTTAATTTTTTCTTTATTCTGTGTATTAACTTTTTCGAATACGTAATGTTGACAAACAAAACCATTCGTAAATTCACTCGAATCATTTTCTCTTATTTAAATTTTTAAGTTTTATAGAATTTCGTATTCATAATCGAATTCAAACTTTAAATTACAAATATGTTTTATAAACATTTGATTTAAAAAATTAATAACAATATGATTAAGACATTTAATATTTTGTTAAATTTAAAAACAATATTTCGAATTGGTTTTATACATATAATATAAAAAATGAATGTACATTCCTTTATAGTTAGTACCGCGTTGCCTTAATATTTTTTATTTATTTTTCTCATATATTTTTGATTTATATATAAGTGTTAGTCGTTAGAGTTGAAGTAAATGTGTAGTTAATGTTTCCATTTATAAAATGCATATTCAATAACTATATTTGAATGTCTTCGAATATTAGGTTTGGTTTCAGAATACCAGAGCCAAAGACAAAAAATCTAGAAATCAACAAAGGCAACATTTTTCAAATATATCGGATGACAATAGTAACAGTAGCAGTGTAACAAACAATAATCTCAAAGCCAATGTATCAGCGCTGACACCTTTGGCTGTAACAGGGGCGAGCAGTGAAGCATCTAATGACATAATAAGGGATTGCAATTTATGCCAAGTGACGCAAGTTAATATACAACAACATGCTTTTACAGTTGAACATATACGTAAAGTAAAAGAGCTTTTAGCTCAAACAACTGCAGCAGCTGCAGCTTCAATATTTCAAGAAGGCGTGGAAGATGTCAAAAGCTCGCTTAAAGATTACAGGAATCAGCAGACACTACCGCCTAATGGAGAGCAAAATCAACAAAATGTTCAACAGCAACAGCAGCTGGCTCTGATGATGATGGCTTTTCAAACACAAAACATGCCGAATTCGTTAATTGCATTTAACGTTATTGAAGACAATTCGGCAGAATGTGTCGCAACAGAAGAGTTAAGCGAAAATAGTTTATCCACAAAACTCATGCCTAAGAATCAAACGAAAACTAAAAGAAACCCCATTAAAAAGAAAAAGTTGACAATGAAAAAATCCAACCAAGCCGAAAACCTAGCAACTGATAATGAGCTATTTTTTAATTTAAATGCCAATACGGCAGTTACTGCTCATTTGAACGCTGCAACTGGCAGTAGTAGGCTAATAGTTGACAATTACAAAAATGCCAATATAAGTCTAGACTCAAACGAGGAAAACGATGGCAATAATAATAATAATCATGAAGATGTTGAAATTACTAAAGATGACGAACAAGTAGTAGAGGTAAAAAGTGGAAATGAATGCGGTGACATAACAAAATCTCAAATATATAATTACAATCACATCGCCGGTAAGTAGTCTATACGAAACATCAGAAAATTTGTCGTTGTGAACTGGGTTCTTTATTCAAGCTTTTTCCGTTATTTTTTATTTAAATTTTTATTTATTTTTTGGGGTAATTTTTAAATATTTAATAAAATTCATGAATTAGTTTATTCTTTTGGTTTTGTTTGTTATCAGAATTCTATTTAATATTTATAAATAATATGAGCAGTTAATATTTTTAAAAAATAATAAATAGAAAACAACTTTTTTATTAATTAAATAAAATGCATGCCACAGCGTCGAACGCATTACATACATTTTTCTATCTATATGTGTGTATTACACAATGAAAAGAAACAACTGTTTTAAAAGTATTCCATAATTTGTAAGATTTGTTTTTAGCTTTTCATATTGTTTTAAACTTATAGTATTTAACATATTATCAAATAAATTATTATTTTTAGTAGTAATTTGTCTTGAATAATTTACAAATATAAACACAAAATATTAATCTTTTATATGAATATAGAAAAAGACTAAATATGTTTTAAACATTGTTTTTGTGTTTACTACTTTATTATTATTTTTATTTTAATTAAAGTATAAAATATAGACATTTAAATATATATGTATTTACTTTATTAATCTCCACCACTTAAACAACACCTCGCATTAAAAATGTTAATTTCCAAATAATTATTTAAGTGTAGACATTAGTAAATGTAACAAAACTGAAACTATATATATATACATACATTATTATAAAATATAATTATACGTAAATTACATAAAATATTTTTATTTTTCATCAAAAATATAAAACTAAACTGAATTGTATGTGCTGCACACCAACTTCTTGAATAATTCTTCACAAACGCGCATATTGCTATAATATGTTTGAAAAAATTAAATATGTATATTATAATAACATAATTGCATTAACAAAATTTATTTAAACTCGTATTATTTCCGAGTAATTTTTTGGAGAAAATTGTTTAAAAATGTGAAAAAGACCTACGTGAAAAATTATATAAAAAGTATTTTGATCGACAAAAATTAACTTGTTGAGTTGTATAAATATCCATACATACATATAGTTTTTAATATATGTATTTAATAAAAATTTTAGTTTTTATGTTTTCTAATAAATGCTTCCATGATTTATTACAATACATTTTGATTTTTTTTATTTGTTTTATTTTTACTTTACAAGGTTGGCAACCGTTTCGAAACGGTTTCGAAACAAAATACCGATACCGGTAGCGGTATCGGTATTTTGACTTATTTCGGTATTAGTATTTTAGCGTTATCGGTATTTTGGCTTATTTTGGTATTGGTATTTTAGCGTTATCGGTATTTTGGCTTATTTCGGTATTGGTATTTTAGCGTTATCGGTATTTTGGCTTATTTTGGTATTGGTATTTTAGCGTTATCGGTATTTTGGCTTACTTCGGTATTGATATTTTAGCGTTATCGGTAGTGTACAAAAAAGATATTTTAGGGGTAATTTCCGTAATAAAAGTTAAATGAAAAGTAACAAATGAGTGTCCTATATTCGGCTGTGTCGAATCTCATATACGTACCATCAAATTTTATGCCGTAATAGAAATGCCCCCCATAAACATCAGGGTGATATTTGGAATATGGCTTAAGTCTATTATGGACCGAGCTCTTTTGAACTAACAAAATATTTTTGTTCAATTCTTAAACCGCGAGCGTAAGAGTAATTCTCTGAAGTGGGCCTTATATGATGGGTAGGGTCAATTATTGACCGATCCTCACAACATATTGTGGACCGATTTTGGTTTATATAAAACTTGTTTACATTGAATATCATCGCTGTACTCGCATTTTTATACCAGCTATTAGAATTAAAGTAATTTTCTGTAGGGAGCTTATATGGGGGGTTAGAGATAAGCGATCCAGTGATTTCTAAAGAACGTCGTTCTAAACCCGTTCACGGGTTTCATTTATAAAGCAAAACAATGTTAATATTTTTTTCGATTATTTTGATTAAAACCAATTTTTTACAATAACAACGTATTTTATTGGGTCTTATATTAAGAATATACATAAATATTACTGAACAAAATAAAATTGGTGAGATTAGAGCGAGAGGAGTTTACTATATGAAAAAATTTCGAATTGTATGCATACTATATTGTAATACGTATTTGGTTCAATAAAAATTAAATGAATTTTAGAAGGTAAGAACTCAAAAGAACTACTTTGCAAGTAAGTGTTAATTGATCATTTCAATCACAGTAGCTGCCAGTGAATTATCAATCACCGTGATAAAATCACAATCGTGAAAATATTGATCATCTCTATGGGGGTAGGGTGATTTACCGACACATTCCGCATCATATAAAGTATTCTTCAGAAATTTTGATGAAGATTTAGAAAATTACGAGTACCTATAGCAATGAAAATCGACATAAAAAAGTTTATACAAAACAAAATCTATGTACAAAGTTTTATGAGTATTGGTTCATAATTGACGCCCCTTCAGAAAATTACTCTTACGCTTACGGTTTAAAAATTGAACAAAAATATTTTGTTAGTTCAAAAGTGCTCGGTCCATAATAGACTTAAGCCATATTCCAAATATCAACCTGATGTTTATGGGGGGCATTATTTTTACGGCATACAATTTGATGGTGCGTATATGAGATTCGGCACAGCCGAATATAGGGCACTCATTTGTTACTTTTCATTTAAGTTTTATCACGGAAATTACCCCTAAAATATATTTTTTTGTACACTACCGATAATGCTAAAATATCAATACCGAAATAAGCCAAAATACCGATAACGCTAAAATACAATACCGATATAAGCCAAAATACCCATAACGCTAGAATACCAATACCGAAATAAGCCAAAATACCGATAACGCTAAAATACCAATACCGAAATAAGCCAAAATACCGATAACGCTAAAATACCAATACCGAAATATATGAAAATACCGATACCGCTAAATTATCACGGTTTCGAAACGGTTGCCAACCTTGAAAATTAATACTCGAAAGATGTTTTTGAGTACTCAATTATTTAATTTTGTTTGCAAGTTTAAGCGCCAATGCATTATCTTCTTATTTTTTATAAAACATGCATTGTTTTGGTAACAAACAGTGACGTTTTCTGTTGTTTAGTATGGCAACACTGCGAAGTTTAATCTTGTACTCAAATACATCAAAGGGGATTAACATCAGATTAAATTTATTTTTAGATTAACTAATCTGATTATTAATGCAAAACCATATAAGGGAAAACAAGATATAGTATAACTGATTCTGCGGCCCTTACTTTATTAATAGATTTTCATACATTCCAGTTAAAAATATTTCTGTAGCTGATAATTCTGTTATTTAACAATGTACTTGAACGAAATTAATAGATTAATTCTGGGCCGAATTATCGCATATGTGGTCGTATAAACTTTTGTATCAAATAAAAATTTCTATTTCGAAATTAGGCAGTTATATAATTTTCATAAAAAATTATGTTTGATTCATTCTAGCATACCGTTTCTAAAAATTTTTGTTGATAAATGTTTGGTGAGGTAGGTTAAAGGATAAAAAGATGATATGAAATTTCCATATCATGTGAAACGCCTTAGAGAGGCGCTTTAATGTCGTATCAGAAATATTTGAGACCTTTCATATGATACCTAAATGTCTTTTTAAAAAATATGGAAACTTCCAAAAATTACTTTTTTATCCATTGATCCTGCTCATCAAATATTTGAGAATCTCGTAATAAAAAATTTTAATTTTCGGCGAGAACATCATCAACATAGTGTTGCCAGATTAGGTTATTCAAAAGCAGCTAAATCGTTTTTTTTGATTATTTTAAGTTTTATGTTGTGTTAAACTTGAATTTAAGAACCGCAATTATTTGAAAAATTTTTTTAATATGTATTCGCATAAATTATTTTTTAGTGATGGAAGGCAAATAAGTTCAATATCAAATCGATATTGTAACAATGAAAAGAACGGATAATGATAATTGGATGAACATAAAACAAGATGAAGGTATGTATAAGGAAAAAACCATTTGAAATTAAATAAAATTAAATTCATACTTTAAACAACTAAATCGAAATAAAGAAAATTACATTCTTTACGAATTTTCAATGTTTTATTCACACATTCAACCGATTTTATCTTTTTGAACCCACCATCAAAAAGATGGGGGTTATATTGATTTTGTCATTCCGTTTATAATACATCAAAATATTGGTCACAGACCCACAAAAAAATATATATTCTGGGTCCTAATTAAATTCTAAGACGATTGAGCCATGTCCGTCTGCCTGTCTGTTGAAAGCACGATATAGGCCGAACGGAAAGAGCCTTTAATAAATATTCCTTATAGGTAAGATTTGTTTGGTATTAAAAATGGGCAATACCAGTCCATGTTTTCGCATAGTTCCCATACAAGTGGTCCCCGAAAAACAGCTTTCACCATCATAACTGCTTTAAAAGTAAGAGTATAGGGATGAAATTTGACATAAATAAGTTTCATATGATCCACAATCTCTCTACCAATTGACCTCATTAAGGTCGCCTTCAGAAAATTACTTTAACGCTCTTTACTGTTTTAAAAGTAAGAGTATAGCGATGAAATTCGACAGAAATAAGTTGTATACGAGTCAACATTACTCTACCAAATTTTATGAGGATCGGCTACAAAATGTTATTACGATCGGTCAATAATTTACCATATCCCCCATATAAGGTCCACTTTAGAAATTTACCTTAACGCTAATCAAATATGTTTCCTATGAACACATATCACTCTCATCCTAGACCCTTTTTAAGGTTCCCTTCAAGAAAGGATTTTACTTATTTAAAATACGAGTATAGCGATAAAATTCTACATAAACAAGTTCTGTACAAAACGAAACCTACATATTATGAGTATAAGGTCACCCCCATATTTATTAATTTTACGCTCATGACTGAATTAAAAATACGAGAATAGCGATGAAATTCGAAACAAATAAATGTTATACGAACCGATATCTATCTACCATATTTTAGGACAATCGGTCTATAATTGACCCTACCACCCATATATGTTAATGGTTTACAAATTATACAAAAATATTTTTTGTTTTTAAAAATTAATATGTATTTTGTTAATTCGTAAAGGTGGAAGGAAGTACACAATACGTGGTAACTTTCAATTTTTGCGCATCAGCAGCTGATCAGAGTTGTATTTTGTTTTGTGTAGAATAAGAATTAACTGAAATGAAATAAATTTCACCAACAATGAAAGCGAGAGATTAAAAAATAAACAAAAACTTAAAATTTTGATTTTTAAAACAAAAATAGCCTTAAACAAGTTAGAGTGCTATATTCGGCTATGCCGAATCTTAAATACCCTCCACCAGCAAGTTACTTTTTATTAAAACTCATTAAATTATATAATTTTTAGATAACTTGACAAAATGTTTGTTTCCGTATTGAGAATACTAACATTTATGCATATGACGAACTAATTTTGATTAGGTCCATTTTAAAAGATTGATTTATCTATACACAGAACATAATCATGTCGAATTTCATCCGGATATAATCATTTAATAACGAATTAAGTGATGTTAAGTGATTTTCAGAAGTTAACCTTTTATGGGAGTTAAGACAACTTATGGACCGATCTGGAAAAATGTCCGTAAAATGATTTATATATACAAAGTACACATTTATGTCGAATTTTATCCCGATAACTTTGATTATCAATGTGAATTTAAGTAATTTTCGGAAATGGTCCTTATATGGGAGTTGTGACCAATTAAGGACCGATAAGGAAAAAATTTCGTATAATGATTTATATAAAAAAAATCAAGTCGAATTTTACTCCAATAGATTAATGAAATATGTGCATTTAAGTGATTTTCGGAAGTGGACTTTATATTGCCTATCCGGTAATATATATGTACACGAAACATATTTGTGTCGAATTTTATCAAAATGTATTTATTTGATAATGAAATATGTGCGTTTAAGTGATTTTTTGAAGTGGACCTTATGTAGGAGCTATTTAAAAATATGGACCGATCCGGAAAGAATTTGGTAGAATTATTTATATGCTCACAAAACATATTCAAGTCGTACTTTATCCCGATAGCTTTATTATT